TTGCGGATACAGACTAACACGGCTGCTACTCTGAAACCTTTCATAAATATATGATTTATTAATAATTTAGCAAAAATTATACACACACAAACTTAACAAAGCAGATAGAGATAATACAGAAAGTACATTTGGACGTCCATACTTACACCCTTATCTTTCATACTTAACCATTATCTTTCTCATCACCGTCATCATCCTCATCTTCCCCGGTAGCCATCATTCTGGCCCCTCCCAAGGTCTACATTTCTCCAACCATTCTGCTGCCCCTGGGATGTTACTTTTATAGTAGCTTATGCTGATACTGCCATGACCAATACATATTCAATAGAGGTCCTTATTTGTATTTCCTTCCCTTAAGGTGTCCATTTTCTATAGGTTAGTATATGTATGATGTTACCCTATTAGTATACACATCAATTTGCTGTCATGGCAGCTTTGCGGTCAGAGGTCCTGTCCGGAACTTTCCGGATGCTGGTGTCAGCTATGTTCTGTGCTGGGGTCAGTGGATGGCTTATGTCAGTATTCTGGACAAAATTCCCCCTCTTGCATGCTACTTTCAGTTCCCTATAACTTATGAGTTACTTAAGCTTGTCTATACCAAAGGTTATAGGCCTCAAGCCTCACACTATCTACTAAAGCCAAATCTTACAGGATAAAAGCCTGTAGGTTCCTTGTATTACTACTAAGCACAATAAATGAATATAATACAGGTAAGCTGGCCCACTGGGCTACAGGCCATTAGATGATTGAGGTGCTAAAGGAGACAAGGAAGACAAGGCTGTTGCAGAGAAGATAAATGAATTCTTTGCACCAGTCTTCATTTCCCAGGATGTGATGGAGATTCCCACACCTGAGCCATTCTTTTTAGGTGACAAATCTGAGGAACTCTTCCAGATTGAGGTGTCAATAGAGGAGATTTTGAAACAAATTGATAAATGGTAATAAGTCACCAGGACCAGATGATATTCAACCAAGAGTTTTGAAGGAATTCAAATATGAAACTACAGAACTACTAACTGTGGTATGTAACCTATTGCTTAAATCAGCCTCTGTATCAAATGACTGGAGGATAGCTAATTTAACACCGATTTTTTTAAAAAGCTTCAGAGGTAACCCTTGTAATTATAGGCCAGTAAGCCTAACTTCAGTACCAGGCCAATTGGTTGAAACTATAGTAAAGAATAGAATTATTGGACAGAAAGATGAAGATAATATGTTGAGGAAGAGCCAACACAACTTTTGTAAAGGGAAATCACCAATTTATCACAATTCATTGAGAGGGTCAACAAACATATGGACAAAGGCGATCCAGTGGATATAGTATACATGGACTTTGAGAAAGCCTTTGACAAGGTCCCTCACCAAAGGCTCTTAAGCAAAGTAAGGAGTCATGTGATAAGAGAGAAGGTCCTCCCATGGATCAGTAACTGGTTAAAAGACAGGAAACAAAGCGTAGGAATAAATGGTCAGTTTTCACAGTGGAGAGAGGTAAATAGCTGGGTCCCCCAAGGAGCTGTACTGGGGCCAGCTCTACTGCTATTCAACATATTCATCAATGATCTGGAAAAAGGGGTAAAACACTGAGATGGCAAAGTCTGCAGACAATACAAAATTGCTCAAGATAGTTAAGTCCAAAGCTGACTGCAAAGACTTACAAAGAGATCTCACAAAACTGGGTAACTGGGCAACAAAAGAGCAGATGAAAATCAATGTTGACAAAAATAAAGTAACGTACATTGGAAAGCATAATCGCAACTATACATACAAAATGATGGGGTCAATTAGCTGTGACTACTCAAGAAAGATTGTGGATAGTTCTCTGAAACTGCTCAATGTGCAACAGCAGTCAAAAAAAAGCTAACAATGTTAGGGACTATTAGGAAAAGGATAAATAATAAGACAAAATATCATAATTCCGCTATATAAATCCATGGTATACCCACACCTGAAATACTGCATCCAGTTCTGGTCGCCTCAACTCAAGGAAGATATATTAGAATTGGAAAAAGTACAGAGAAGGACAACAAAAATTATTAACGGTATGAGGAGATAGTAAAAAGACAAACTGTTCAGCTTGGAAAAGAGACAAATTAGGGGCGATATAACAGAGGTCTATAAAATCATGAATGGTGTGGAGAAAGTGAATAAGGAAGTGTTATTTACCCCTTCACATAACAAAAGAACTACGGGTCACCCAATGAAATTAATAGGCAGCAGGTTTAGAATAAACAAAAGTAGTACTTCACGCAACGCACAGTGAACCTGTGGAACTCATTGCCAGGAGATGTTGTGAAGGCCAAAAGTTTATCTGGGTTCAAAAAAGAATTAGATAAGTTAATGGGGGATAAGTTAATCAGTGGCTACTAGCCAATATGGTCAAGGACACAACCCCATGCTCTGGGTTTTTAAACTCCCCCTGGCTGAAGCTGGGACTAGATGACAAGGATGGATCACTTGATATATTGCCCTGTTCTGTTCACTCCGTCTGAAGCATCTGTCACTGGTCGCTGTAGGAAGGCAGGATACTGGGCTAGATGGACCATTGGCATGACCCAGTTTGGCCGTTCTTCTGTAACTTCTCACAAAGATATCTTTTACACTGGGCCATTACAGATATCTGAGCTGATCTGTTTCTGATACAAAGACATGTAGCCTCTCATTTAGTCTAAATTTTTATTCTTTCCATTCTTCTTCCTCTTTCTGTGTTAAACTGCTGCCATTAGAGCACCTTTTCCAAAAAGTAAAATTATACCCAGCTTCATCAAGATAATGAGCACATATGTACCCTTAATGGCCATTTCCAACCATGGGCCTTCTGTGCCAATATTCATGCCTTGACTTCCCTCTACAGCCTGCACTCCTGCCACCTCAGATCTCCCCAGCTAAAATATGATCCAAGTCTAATCAGTGCTTAGATGGAAGACCTCTAAGAAAAATCTATATGTTGCAGGATGTGGTGCTGACAATGAAGTCATATATCCCTCTGGGTCAGTAAGGATCCAGTATAGTTGAGTAGTGGTGGTTGTTCCGCTTAAAGTGCATGTTTTTACAAGAGTAGATGTGTTTGTTTCTCCCTCCTAGGAAAATTCTGCTTGAATTATTGCATTCCGTCTCCCTGAATTCCCCCCCGCAATTCCTCGCTCGGGAAGAACAGACTGGTCTCTCAAGTGGGCACAGAGTTGATTGTGAATGGAGGTTGGGAGAGTACCACCATTCTTCTTCCACCAAATTGAGCACTGATTACAAATCCAAACCTCAAGTTGGGTTTGTAAAACCTGCCTGGACCAATGTATGAATTCATATAGAAACCACAAAGAATTCACTGTTTTCAGGTGAGTTTCATTCTAACCTGGAACTCAAGGAGTCTGATCCCTCACAGAGCAAAACTGAAAGAAAATTTACATGAACCCCTGCAAAACAAGACTGCAGAGTTTTGCACAACTCCATTGTTAATCAGTTCACCAGTCTCTAGTTTAGATATCAGCTGATACAATCACCTTCTGTGCCCACTACCTCCTCTGAAGCACTGACAGCCTACAAGGCATAAACTGATGTTTCCCAAAAAGGACAGTATAGAGATTTTTTTTTAAAAACACCCCAAGAAATCTCCAATACATCCTACTTTGTCAATTGCCTTCTATTTCATGAAGAAATGTGGCGAGGGATGTGGAGGCAATATGGACTTTAAATCTGAATATTTTCCTTAGGAATTTTCACCAATGACTCAATATCAAACATCACCAATAATTTCTAAGGGTTTGTGTCATATTGTGAGTCCTGGAAGCCAAACAGGGGAGTTTGAACATGGGGCTATGGTGGAAGCTTTAAGAGCTAGTGCTTCAAAGGAATACTGGATAAAAAGCAGAACATGATTATTAGGTGTTATCTCTGAAATGTGATCCAGGACAACTGCTCAGGTTGAGACTCATTAGCCACATTATCCTCCATTTTGGAAAGGAATATTTAATAAATCAACTCTTGCTACATACCTAATGTGGGAAGTAATCCTGGTACAACTACCAGCCTCTTCATCACATATCAATTACACATCCTACCTGCACTAGTCTTTTCCCTACTGGATAGAAAAATCTCACCTGGGGATTTAGCACAAATGTGTGGTTCAAAGTCTGCCCGGGGGTAATATTCCCCACATCAAAATGAATGGAGGCAGCATGACTCCTCAGCACAATGCCTTTGTCATAGAAGGTGAACTCCAGGATATTCTGCAATGGGAGAAGTGAGAAATCTTATCTAAACATCTTCCACAGTCAAATAATAAAATCTATCATAGCCTAATGTGGAATAAAGGGATATTCTCTATTCATTTGTTATTCTGTCCTTTGTCTTATCATAGAATCATAGGACTGGAAGGGACCTCGAGAGGTCATTTAGTCCAGTCCCCTGCACTCATGGCAGGACTAAGTATTATCTCTAGACAATTCCTTACAGGTGTTTGTCTAACCCGCTCTTAAAAATCTACAATGATGGAGATTCCACAACCTCCCTAGGCAATTTATTCCAGTGCTTAACCATCCTGACAGTTAGGAAGTTTTTCCTAATGTCCAACCTAAACCTCCCTTGCTGCAATTTTAGCCCATTGCTTCCTATCCTCAGAGGTTAAGAACAATATTTTTTCTCCCTCCTCCTTGTAACAACCTTTTATGTACTTAAAAACAGTTCTGTCCCCACTCAGTCTTCTCTTTTCCAGATTAAACAAACACAGTTTTTTCAATCTTCCCTCATAGGTCATGTTTTCTAGATCTTTAATCATTTTTGTTGCTCTTCTCTGGACTTTCTCCAATTTGTCCACATCTTTCCTGAAATGTGGCACCCAGAACTGTACACAATCCTCCAGTTGAGGCCTAATCAGCGTGGAGTAGAGTGGAAGAATTACTTCTTGTGTCTTGCTTACAACACTCTGCTAATACATCCCAGAATGATGTTTGCTTTTTTTGCAACAGCGTTACACTGTTGACTCATATTTAGCTTGTGATCCTCTATGACCCCCAGATCCCTTACCGCAGTACTCCTTCCTAGGCAGTCATTTCCCATTTTGTATGTGTGCAACTGATTGTTCCTTCCTAAGTGGAGTACTTTGCATTTGTCCTTATTGAATTTC